CATAAATGTTACCCAATAAATAAAGAACTCAAGTGAGTTCAGTAGACAACAGAAAAGAATATGGGGGGTGGGCATTTTATGAACTATGGAAGAGTAACTGATAGAAATACCATTGTTCCGTTAACAATGATCTAGAAGATATATGGAAAAGATTGTCCTTGCTCATCCCGGGAAATCAGGGTACTGAAAAACTGACACCAAAGAGGGTGGCAAAGGAAATGATGTGGTTAGTGAGAAGCCTTGAGAGACTGAATAAACAAAGAGACAAAGGCTAGACCATATTTGACATTAGAACTCCGACTCACAGTCTCTGCATCAACCAGTCCTGGAAGCCACATCACAACTTCTCTAGCTGTAGCAATCTACTCAGAATGGTCAGGATTTGGCCAGCTTCCCTAATTTTTGGCCCCTCCTCCACCAACTCAGGACCAACCAGAGAATGCCAAATAGGCCCCCCAAACCAATCACATAAGATGCCCTGCTTCTAGTTAGCCTGCCTCCAGTTTTCCCATGTCAACAACCTCCAGTGACAGAACACCTGAGCCTTCCTCCTTATCTCACTATAAAGCTTTCCCACTCCCCTGCTGGGTTTAAGTCAGTCAAATGCAAGTAATGGAGGCTGACTCCCTTGCTTTAGCAAGCTCTTAATAAATAGCCTCTGTTTGTTCTCATTTGGGTGGTCTTTATTTTCATACCTGATTTCAGTTAAAGAGATGGATAAAATAAACTAAGAAAAGGCTACAAACACAAAAGATCTTATTTCATTCATACTAAAAATATTTGTTGTTTAAAATGACAAGATACTATAAAAAGGGATAAGTGGGGGAAATTCCATTGACTTGGATAGGGATGAGAGTTTCAAAGACAGGCTTTAAGGGTAGGCACATATTTGTGATTAAGGTGACTGAGATCAGAAGGATGAGAGAGCCCAGTGTCTGGAGAGAATATGTTAACAATAAGAGGAGACAATATCTGTGATTTAACAGAAAAAGGTACAAAAAAAGAAGGGTATACTTTAGATGATTAGAGGTACTTGGAGTGCTTTAAATACTAGCAACAAGTTTTAAAACAGACAGGTAGGCAGGCAGATCAACTGATCAATTAATAGAAAATTTCGTTGTCCTAGTTACTGGATGGTATAATTTGAGAGTAGCTTCCATATTTCTATACATGCTTAGAATTAGAAGACAATCTTACTATGTAAAGCTGGCAAATTATAAATTATACCAATTATTTTTATGTTAGCAGAGGACTCTGTGTAGAACTCAATTATTTTACATAAATAAATTTACCAAGTCTATGAGTAAGAATTTATTAAAATTTTCCAACCAATAAATAATTTTAGAAAATATTGTTACAAACCAATTTGATAGCTTTTCTTCTTAATTCCCATTCATTCCACTCATATGATCTCACAACTGTTGGTGGCAATATGTGGGTATCCGTCTGAGTGCTACTTTCACACTTTGTAATTGGTTTTATATAATGTTTGTCAATGTCTCTCATCTAAAGAAATGGAGTTTTGTAATTAGTACTTGTAAAACATAAACATAATTCGCAGATAACTAAAAATATTTAGCTAAAACTGACAAAAGATTAGAAAAACAAGAAGTTTTGAATATGGAATATACTTGCAAATACCAGCAGAGAAAAATAAGCTCATAGGTTAATAGGCTAAATGTAATTATTTTTCTGAGCATTAGGCTTCGTGCTTGATTTTGTGAACTTAATGTAGGAAGTATATTTTGGAAGGGGAAAACACACCTCGTTCCCAAATCAAATGCCCCTTCCCACTTTCCATAATTAGTACCATGAAGTGAATACCTTGTTGGAAATGGGTAGAAATAACAGATAGCTATTAAATATAAGGTACAAATCACATCTGTTTAAACTATTAAAACCTCTTTAGGACATATGTTGAACTCAAACTATGCATAGATAGCAAATTATTACCCAAGGTTTTTTTGTTTGGTTTGGTTTGGTTTTAGTTGAATATATTAATTTTCTGCTGGGGCATCCAATATTAAGTATTCAGTAATCCCAGGCTAAACAAGATAAGATTATGCTGTATATGAAGCTGTTGGAAGGACTGGTAGAGGTTTAAGGAACTCAGGTCATAGTAAAGTGTAAAAAGAAGATACTAACTTCTTTCCCCAAATCAAGCAACAAATAATCACTGAGTGCCTACCATTTCTGCCTTTAAAATTATCTTATAAAACAGGTAAGTAAAAACATGCTGAAAAGATAACTAACAATACTGTGCATTACACGTAAGCGGCAAGTAAATAAGACGATAAGGACTATATGGACTATAGACGGAGAAAACTCACTTCCATACGTATTGAAGGTCACTGAGAACAGCTGGGGAATAAATAGGGAGGGAAAAAAGGGAAAAACAAGACCAAGTGTGTAGGGAAAAATTGTGCTTTGGTGGAAAACTACACATTGTCTACATATAGCACACTTTTCTGGTTATCTGATTCTAGCCTTTCATTGTCTTTAAACTATTTTACAACTCTGCAAGTTGTAAATAAGTGATAGCAAGGCCAAATAATTTCTGGCTATAGACATATGAAGTCTGACCTGTCTGTAGAGGTTAAGCTGACTTCACTTTTCCTATGTAGGAAAATCAGTGTTGCCTCTATTTACATATTCATTTGAATATTCCTGATCTATAAATGTGTCTGTTCTTAGGATTCTCTTTTGAACCAGTGATAATAACATCTACCTGGTTCCCTCATTGATTAATAAATAGATTGCACTCTTTCACAGAAGTTCATTTTTATATCTGCATGAGAATCATCATTTTATTAATTTTTGAAAATTACCTTTTAACAAGTAGAAGACCATGTGATAGGTAGAATAGGTTTGAGGCTAGTACATAACTCATTGCTTATTTGACATGGAGAGGTCATGGAGAGAATTAGTAAAAAAAGAAGGATAAAAACACATGTAGGCCTTGAACGCCAGGCCAAGGAGTTGGGATTTCATGTTACAGATAAAGCACTGAAGATTTCTGAATTCAGAGTAAAATGGTGAATGGCATTTTTCCAATTTGAAGAATAATTATTAAAATTTTCTCTGTTGTAAATTTTCCTCTCATTTTTTTTAGATAGTTGGCTCCTGCAATCATTTTTCTAAATTAGAAGTTTCTATAATACAGTATCTCATTGAGCACAAAAATTACATATATTAAACTTAAGATACCAGCATTTATACTGCTCATCAAGAACTATGATCTCCAGGAACTGTATAGCTTAAACAAATTTGGGAACCACTGACTGAAAAATTAATTTGGTGGTAATTTGAAGAGTGAAACATACAGTTTGGGGCCAGAAATAGCTTTAAGGCTTTTTTTGTGATAAGTGGCCATATAGTATGTCCAAAATAATATCTATATACAAGGGTACTTCAAAAAGTTCATGGAAAAATGGAATTAAAAGACAATACACTTACAGATAAAGCACTGAAGATTTCTGAATTCAGAGTAAAATAGTGAATGGCATTTTTCCAATTTGAAGAATAATTATTAAAATTTTCTCTGTTGTAAATTTTCCTCTCATTTTTTTTAGATAGTTGGCTCCTGCAATCATTTTTCTAAATTAGAAGTTTCTATAATACAGTATCTCATTGAGCACAAAAATTACATATATTAAACTTAAGATACCAGCATTTATACTGCTCATCAAGAACTATGATCTCCAGGAACTGTATAGCTTAAACAAATTTGGGAACCACTGACTGAAAAATTAATTTGGTGGTAATTTGAAGAGTGAAACATACAGTTTGGGGCCAGAAATAGCTTTAAGGCTTTTTTTGTGATAAGTGGCCATATAGTATGTCCAAAATAATATCTATATACAAGGGTACTTCAAAAAGTTCATGGAAAAATGGAATTAAAAGACAATACAAATCTTTCCACAAACTTTTTGAAGACCCCTCATATGTATATATACACACACACATACATGTATATGTCTGTGTACATATATATATTTACACATTTTTTACTCAAAGAAATATACACATATATTTATAAGAAAGAAAAGTATGTTTTAAAAGTCACATAAAAATTCACGTTATAAAGAATTTCAAGTTTTTTGGATAGGGGCAAAATGGTGGACTAGAGGTGCCCAGGGCACATTCTTCCCACAGAAAAAGACCAGAATAACAGACAGCTAAATATTGGCAGGAGCACCGGTAACAGTATGTGGGGGTGGTAGGAGACTGGTGAAATCACTGTGGAGTGTGAAAACCCAGGATGGTAGCATAGAGAGAAGAGATAGGCACATGGCTTCAACCACCATGTCTCCGACAATTGAATGAGCATAGGAAGGATTTTCCTTTGTGATGAAAGGTAGGCAGAAGACCCATATCTACCTCCATCCTCACCACAAAGGCCCACAGCTCCTTTGGCAGGACTATCCCAGGGCCAAGTGTGGGAAGTGCCCTAGAAAACACACAGTGCAACACTCTAGAATACTAGCACAAATGGTGCACTCCCCACCCCCCACCCTCGGGACCTAAACCAATGCAGGAAGGCACCATCCTGAAACCAGAGTCATTATGGGACTGTGCCCTGTTCTGGGGCCAGTAGTCATGGTGCTTCCCCAGCCTTAAGGCTCTGCTCTCCACCCACTGCACTCATAGGAGAAGCCATAATACCAGCCCTGGTCCAAGAGGCTTGAAGCCTGGCCTCACAGCAGCTGTAACTCTAGTTCTACAGTTTGGGAAGCCAACCCTAGTCCTACTGAACTGATGCACTCCTACATCTCTGACCAAAGAGCAGACAGGTGGACCAAACCCCATTCCTCCCTCTAACCCCAGACCCACCAGCTGACTGAATTGTGTGCATCTGAGCCCCCAGCCCAGAAAAATAGCTCAAGGGTCTCTACCATAACAAATATACCCTTGGGAGTGGAAATAAAGTGCATCTGCCCTTCCCTGAGAAGCTGTCAGGCAATTCCATCCTAAAAAGTCCTGCCTAGTGGCCTTGCCAACAAGCCCAGAAGTGGCTGCACCAGCTCCTTCATTGCACATCTGCCTAGTGGCCTTGCCAACAAGCCCAGAAGTGGCTGCACCAGCTCCTTCATTGCACATCTGCCTAGTGGCCTTGCCAACAAGCCCAGAAGTGGCTGCACCAGCTCCTTCATTGCACATCTGCCTAGTGGCCTTGCCAACAAGCCCAGAAGTGGCTGCACCAGCTCCTTCATTGCACATCTGCCTAGCAGCCATGCCTAGCAGCCCTGTCCACTGCCCAGAAGCAACTAGAAAGGCCACTTCTCTGAAGGCTTGCCTAGCGGCCCTGCCCACCACACAGAAGTGGCTGGTCAGGTCACTTCTCTGCAGGCTTCCCTAGAGGTCCCACCCACTGCCCAGAAGTGGCTGGTTGGGGCACCTCACTGCAGGCCTGCCTAGCAGCCCTGCCCACCACATAAGAAGCAGCTAGACAGGCCCTCTCACTGTAGCCCTGTCTAGTGGCCTTGCCCACCTCCTGAGAAGTGGCTCAACAACTCCACCTGTGGCAGTCCAGCTCCTGAACAACAGAGGAAAGCACGATCCTGTGGCCACTGCTGTCACCAGGCCCCAGAGCACTGCCACCACCACTGCCCTTCTCCCCACAAAGCAGTCCATCTCACTCCACTGATGCTGAGCCTGGGTGCCACCAGCTCCATGCCACCCACATTCAGATATTCCTGCATTTTACCAGGTAGGAGGAAAGAGGAAAGAGGGAGAAGCAAAGACCCAGGAGAAGCTTCTGCTTGCAGGAAAGAGGAAAGAGAAACCCCACCCAGGCTCATTCATTCAAACTGAGGAGCATCAGTACATACCAGTGCACCTATCAGGGTCAAAGAATGCTAGGCAGGGTGCTAGAAAGACTTCCCAGGGTCAGCCACCTCAGCCAAGGAGAAACAAGGCACATAGGCACTTCTCCCAAGAGCTCGGGTCTCACCCATGACCTTGACAATCCATCACAGTGTCATACACTTCAGGAAGAACCCCCTGAGTGCTCCAGTGCCTAGAACACAAAAGCATTTACATGCAACTTCAACACTGACTATGGCTAAAGTAACTACATAGAGACTACACTACTGCATCTACCCGGAATCAAAACTAAAACACCATAACCAATGGTAAAACAAAACACATCTACAGGAGGGAGTATCTCTCCTTAAAAACCACTCCAGAGTAACAGAAGGAGCAATGTCTCACCAGATGACCAGACATGAATATAGGGATACTAGAAATGAAAAAAAAAAAAAAGGTGAATAAAATAATTTTGCCTAATTTGTTTGAAATTCTGTTCTTAATAAGATTATGTATTATAGAGTATCAACTATTAAACTTAATTGTGTATCTAAAGATAAAAAAATGAAATGATGAAAATATAAATAGAAACTCCAAATTAAATGCAAAATTAAAAATCACTTTTTAGAAAAGAAATTAGAGGCAAGAAACAGAGCATACCTGGGGGCCCAGGCAGGAGCTGAGGGCTGCTCACTCCT